GCATTTTATTATAGTGGGTGTCTGAGGAACCCCAAATGTCACACAGGGGACAGGTAGTGCGTTAGAGATCATGTCTCTTGAAGCTACCAGCTTTTATTTGAGAGAAGAACATTTTCAGTATTACATACTTTGGGGTTCTTTTACTGTAGAAGTTGCAGAGTATCTTGGAGTCCATGATAAACATCCACAGCCTACGGAGGAAATAGAGCCGCTCTCGAGCTGAAAAACAGAAGTTGGAGGTTTGAAGGGCCGTTGGGATGGAGGGATGAAAGGATCAAGGGATATAGGGAGGGATGGATGAATGCATGAAGGGAGGGATGAAGAGATATATGTGGGCTGTGAAATCTGAGACAATTGAAGCTGGATTTGTTCACCGGGTATAATCGGCTTAGCAGGTGATTAGGAGGAGGTGTGGCCCTTCTCCCTAAGGTGACTAAGGTGACTTATTAACCAAATGTTTTTTAATGCATTTTGATTTAATATTGCTATTGAGTATTGTTTGACCTAGAATAACCCGATCCACCAAATGTCATGTTCCTTTAACCTCTATTTGTCCAAAAAATATCATTCATGACTGATTCTTGATTAGTCATCTACCTTTTCCAAATGTCCAATTTTGTTATGAATTTTGAGCGTGTATGAGTGGTGGAAGGATATGGACAGGACCTGGATAGAGGAGAAAAAGAAAAAAAGAAAGCTGAAATAACTGGGAAAGAGGTTGAAGAGCACGAAACGACTAAAGCGCACTATGTGCTCTGTTCAAAAAAGTATAGGTCATATATATGAATGGCCGAAAATACATGATAATGCTGGCGGTAGAAACATGGAGTGCCTGCAGGCCTTTATGTTTGAGCAGCAGTGAACCCACGCTGTCCTGTCGCAGGACAAATACCTGCTGCTCTGCATAGAGCCGAAAATGTTTAAATGATTTGTTTACATATTCAAACTCCAGCTGATAGCAAAATAAGATCCTTAAAATATATATATATGAAGTCTTCCAATTAGACATTACATAAAGTAACCCGAGCTGCAACTAAGCTTTATCTTTCTTGTTAAATAATCTGCAGTGATTTCCTAAATTATTGGGTTTGATCAATTTACCCAAATATATTCAGTGTAGTATTGGGAAACCACTAAATCTTTCAAATTAGAACATGTTTTAAATTATAAATAGATCATCACAAATATTGCAGATTTGCAGGGGGGAGGTCCAGTGCCTTGCTCAATTGAAGAGATTCAATATCAAACTTTTCCCTGCACTATATTTATGTACACTCTGCTGCAAGGTTATTAAAACCAAATATATAATGATGAATGTTACATCCCCACTAAGGTCTAGGGGACCTGGAGACAATAACACACAACAACCAATAAAAATGAGGGACTCGGCGTAAAGGTTGACAAAAGGTTTATTGTTGTAAACCTAGAACTGAACAGAAAATGAACATAAATACTCTGTGTGTGAGGAGGAGGAGTCGAAGGATTGTGTCAAACAAAAGAAACAAGCATAACAAAACCAGAGGCCTGTACTACGAAGCCGGATTTTCGCTTAGCCGGCTGACTTCAGGGAAAACTCGGGCTTTACGGTCCTACGACGCTGGTTCTCTTTTTAGCGGGCTAGATCTCCATGGTAACTTATGCTGAGCGGCTAACCTCCTCGGGAGGAGGTTAGGTTGCAGGCCAAGAGATCAACTCAGTGAAAGCACCGCCTGCTGACCAATCAGAGCTCCGTGTGCGGAGTTTAAAGCGATCAAGTCATATTACAGGATAGAGGAAATACTGAAAAACTGCCGTTGCAGGAAAGACGGCCGGCAAAAATCAACTGACTGTGTGAACGTGAAAATTAATAGAATATCCCCTCCCATCTTCAGAGCAATCTAACTATTATAACATTAGCGTTAAGAAAGCTTACTTAAATATCTGCCACGACATAAGTAACCGGATCAGAGTAACATTAAGTACAGTCCGCGGCACTGTGAGTGCAGACGTCGATGTGTCCCATTATCATTCATATCATATCACATCATAATGTATCATATATTTCCTTATTTGAGTCAGCTTCTTGAGCCGTATCTGGCCGTGCAACACTCACAGTGTCACATACTGTATGCAGAAGTATTCTTTTAAGCAACACATTAAGTTGACGAAACACTCGAGTCAAATGTAATTAAAGTCAGATCGTGTCTTGGACGGGGCAGTGATATCATAAACCTGTTAATGTACGCATTCAAACGCTTTTTCTTTTACCAGCTGTATTCACCTTGCAGGTGCAGCTATGTGGCTTTTATCCTGGATAAAGTGTTTAAGTCATGGATGTTTAAAGTTTAACTTCTTCATATTTGACTAATATTAAAGTTCACTTTTCATTCAGGAAGTATGACGCTGCGCTGTCAGTACGCTTGTCCGTGTTTGAGATTGGTCGAATGCTCCAAATACCACCCCTTTCATGTGAACGCGCACCTAACTAGATAGGACACGGCTGGCTTGAGCGATCCACTTGATAACCAGCGTCGTAGTACAGTTTAGCCAGAGCGCGTATGTTTTGGATTGGGCCAACCGGCTAACTCAAACATATCCAGGTTAGGAAAATCCGGCTTCGTAGTACAGGCCTCTGGCCTACAATATCTCTACATCTATCCTTTGAAACCAAAACTCAAACAAAAACGCTCACTAACTAAACTACTCAGAATTGGACAAAACAGAATACAGGGGTGGCAACAATCCACTAACCTAGTGTGTCTTAACATTAGTTATCTACGTGATGAGAAGTGTACAGGGTACCCCAGACTTACCTAACTCCTCCACCTCTCAACACACACACTTTCACAAAGGTCAGACAAAACAAAGAGAATGACTTTCTTAACAAGGCAGTCAATTTCAGGCTCCTCCATCAGCAACAGGCCCAGAGTGAGAGAGAGAGAAGACTTCCTGGGTGCCTCCTTTATGGTCGGCCCTGGCTGCTGATAGGCCAGCTGAGGGTGAGAGGATCCAATCAGCCATCAGACTCTGGTGCACAGGCAGGTACTGATCAGCTGCTGATTAGCTGTGCAGAAGACGGGGAGAAGAGAGAAAAACAGGAGGGAAGGAGAACCACACAAGTACAGCCTGCCTGGCACGTAACAATGCATAATCAAAAATGTGAATGCAATATATTGTAGATTGCTTAATGCTTTGCATTAAAAATAACTGGTGGCCGGAAAAGGTCATAAAGATTAAAATATATATATTTTTTTAATTAAACACATCATTAAGTATATTTACCTAGACATCGTGGAACATTTTTAAATCGTGACTTTCGTAAAGTCAAATCCCGGCTTTTTAGGTACTGGCAGTGACAAAGCTAATGTATATGCGGTCTCAAGCTTAAATATTCATATTCCCTATCATTTTCAATAATGGAGATTCCCTCATCTATCCCTTGTTAAAAATGTTTTCCCTTTATTTATATATGTTACTAATGAATCCCCTTTACACTGGGTTTTGAATGATTGCACACCTGTTATTTTATATTGTTATGCTATATGATGATTTACAGAACTATAATAATTATTGGGGCTACCAACGTTAACGCTATAACGATAAATCTGAAACCTCTACGCGTTTAAATAAAATGTGTATGTTTTTGTTATATTTGACTGTTTTGTGAAGTAGTTGTGCTCTGTTACTCCTGTATTTAAATGGCCGTTGTCTGGAAAGAATCTGGTGCTGCTGACCTTCATTCATCGTGGACGTCATGAGCCTTTAGTGCCCTCTTGTGTCCTTTTCCCCAAATATAAGTGAGTGTTTTTGTGCAGACTTTATTTGCTATACAGTATTTGGTAGGCCTACAGCCTGTAGTTACTGCTGCATCAAATCATGTTCATTAGTATATGGGGACTTAAAGTAGTATTTGCTGAAAAGAAAAGAGCAAATCTAACACTACTGTTATGTGTGGGTAGTTTATGATGTATTGTTCCCTCAAGTGGCAGAAAGCAGAATTTCACATTAATGTAACTGCTTCTTTCTCACATTTCTTCTTCAATGCTGCACTGTGTCATGTGTCTTCACACAGTGGTTGAATATAAATAAGTACCTTTACTAAAGTTCTCTACTGAAGCAATATTTTTGACATAATTTTCCTTTATACTTCAGCTCCGTAATTTGTACTTAACTGCATATATTTAACACTCAGGTACTAGTTACTTTTACATATAAACACATGGAATACAATATGATAACATGCAGTATGTTACAAATTATAAACCCAGTATTTTTGAAAGTATCTATAATTGGCTCCACATTGACAAACTACAACATTTAAGTGCTAGGAATTTGTAATGATAAAAAAACAGGATAATATAATAACCATAATAATATAATGCTGTGGAAAGAGCCATTCTGTATAACATGCACTTTTTATTTGGATACTTACAGTATATTTAGCTGATAATAGTTTTACAACGTATAATCTGTTCTGGTATTGGCCATTGTGCAGAGTGAGTCATTTTACTGTTTGTACTTCAAGTATATTTGGAAGGCAATAATGTTCACTTTTACATACGCAACATTTTGAATTCAGGACTTTTACTTAAAACCATATTGTTTCCACTTTTACTTAAGTTAAGGATCTGAATACTTATTCTCACACTAGATTTAGGTAACCGTGTTCAGATTGTATGAATACCATGATATAACATGAAAACCTGTCAAATCGTTTTGTTAAAAGACTTGGTTCAACAGAAAAAATACAGACAAAACCTTTTCTAACTAACGTATTTAATACTTCCTAAATGACCAGAAACAGATTTAAATTAGCTTGTGGTAATTATAGTAATTTAAATCCTGATTAAACTGCTGATCTTTAAATGTTATTTTGTAATGCATAGTACCATAAAATAAAGTTTCCTGCACGTTGTTCTGGTGTTGGAAGAATACTCAGTTAAATCTGAAAATCTGGATGAAAAACACAGAAATAAACAGATATATTATTTTCACTTGAGAAAAGAAAACTGACAACTGACTTTGATCAGAATCATTTTATTGTTATATTTGCTTCAACATTTTTTTTTTTCATAGGATCTGACAACATATCATCATTTTGTTGGTTTCCATTATGCACACAACTTTATGTTTGTCAACTTGAATAAAAGTAACAACAAAAAAAGGATATAAATGTTAAACTATATATGATATATTTTTCAACTTTCTTGTCGCTGGATCAACTTTTAATAAATCTGAAAATATCAATACCATGATCAACAGTATTCTCTGCTGTTGGCTTGTTTAGAGGATATTTAATCTACAGACAAAAGTCAGTTACATAAACATTTCTTATTCACTGCCTTTACTTCAAATAAACAAAACAGTAGAGCATATTAAAGAATAATGAGTACATGTTAGAAAACATCTGTTTCTCATGGCCTTTGTACTTTAAGCACTTAGGATGCACTGCAAGAAATGGTGAAAAAAAAAGTAAAATGAGTAAGAATAATAATAGTAAGTAAAACATGATTTAATCACACGGTCTTTGTACGACACAGACCCACGACATCATATTGTGCACACAGCCTGATGTTCTTTAAGAAAATTATTATTATTATAGCAATACATCACAAACTACCCACACATAACAGTAGTGTTATTATAACAATATATCAATGTCTTGCATGAAACTATAACAGTACACATATGAAAGAATAGTGATGCCATTAGATAACATCTGTTTCTCATGGCCTTTGTGCATTAAGCAAAGTTGAATAATAAAACAAAACCTGTAAATAGTTGAGTAAGTAATAATAAGTAGTACAAATAAAAGTAAGTAAAACATGATCTCATCACTAGTCTTTGCCTACGTCATCATTTTGTGCACACGGCGTGAGTGAGATTTTCAAAAATATTATAAAAAATGAATGAAATAACATTTAATATTAAAAATATAAAGGAAAAGATAAAAACGTCTTGCATAAAACTATAACAGTAAAAATATTGAAGACATGAGACAACATCTGTTTCTCTGTTCTTGTATTTTAACATTATCAACAACAACTTCTTGTTTTGCACTAGTCTTTATGAAAAGAGTTGCAATCATCAAAAAACTAAACTCTAACATTTTTTATCTGAGCATTCAAACAGTCCTTCTTTCTCACTTGTTCATCACATCATTATCCGTCTAACAGAATGAAAATCAAAAGTTCATCATCAACAAGATGTGAAGGATGCCACAGTATTTGCACATTAAGCAAAACGTCATCAACATGCACTAACAGTATTTCAACTGAGGCTGGCTTATGTACTCTCCAAGTACACATCAACGTTTATATTTACAATACATGGTGAATAATAAAATGAAAAATGAAAAACTGTTGAGAAAGTAATAATAAGAAGTAAAAACAAAAACAAACATGATCTCATCACATGGTCTTTAGACATCATTGCATGAACACAAGGAATGAATACAAATAATAAAACAAGAAAAAAGTAAGTATTAAAAAGTTCAATAAAATGTATTATTCCCAGACTGGTATGAAATCACACATTTTTCCTCCTGGTTTTTATCTGCAAAATACGTTACTTAAAAGCTCAAATGTGAAGCAATACATGACTCATGCAGACATTTACATCACAAAACATCTCTTTGTTTCCAACACGGTCTTTGTAGTAAACCATCTTTATCAGTGACATCAACTTTGTTGTGCACACCAGTTATAATGCACAACGTTTAACAGTTTACTGAAAATAAATGACAAAAACAAAATAACATAATCTCTTTCTTCAGGTGGACTATGACGCACATCATTTTCAGAATCATATTTTGTTACGCTAGTCATCACACCCAGAGGAATACAACATCTTGAAAATAGAAAAAAACTGAACAATAAAGATTTAAAGAATTGTTCCTCTTTTTTGTTAACATCATTATCGTGCATGGTACATGAGGTCTTATAGAAGATTAATAAAGGGAAAACATAACATTTGTAATCTTAAAAAGAAATAAAAAGTCTCAGATAACTATCTCTAGCTTTTTAACTTCTCTGCAACTTCTTAAACTCATCAGTTGTCAATAATAGTGATCGTCAAACCCCAGGATGCCACTAAAGATCACGGTGCAGTCAACTTTATCACAACAGTGTCGATCTGTTTTGTCTTTTTGCCCTGGCGTGTTCAGTTCCTGTTTCCTTCTGGTTTTCTCTCTCTTGTTAAAGAGATATTTGTCAGGATTGCAGGTTATTCGTTAATGATGTAGGCTTCCTTCAAGTCTTTCAGTGCTTGTTCCTTTGTAATTTTCCTCCATGCTTCTGGAACATCAGCTGGCTTGGCCTTGTATTCCTGGGCAAATCTCTCATTGTATTTAACCAGGACATACTTCCAGTATTCACATGGCTTGATGGTGTTGTCTGGAGGAATGTGCCAGTCTGGGTAGAATTTTCTGTAGTCCTTGTAAGGATGCCATTCTCCATTAGTGTCAGCGCACCTGAATTTAGACTCACTGTGAACATCAGTTGTGCACAGTGTTTCCGACAGCTTCTCAGTGTCTACAATCCTGTATCTACCGAGACCTTGTGGCCGATGAACAGCTGCCTGATGTGTGTGTTTGTCTTTAGATGTATTTGTTGTAAATGGTATGCCTGCAGCCTCACAAGGAACTTTACAAAATGGACATTGATGTCCACAACCAAACACCTGACTGAAAAGCTCATCCTGTGGTTTTGTTGGAAGTTTGTTCACAGTCTCAGTGATGTCTTCAGATGAGAACTCCTTCTGCAGCTGTTCCTTCATTTCACTCAATGATTTGACGAGGCTCTTTGTAAATGGATGGCACGTGCTTTTGATTTGAAACAAGGCAGTTTTTTCAGCCTCTACTGATATCGAGATATCTTTGGTCAAAAATGTGCGCATGTTTTTGATGAGCTCTGTGATGCTTTCCTTGTTATCTGGCAGCAGGACACCATCCTCTCCTTTTGAGGCCCTTTCAGTTGCATCTGTTAATTTATCAACTATGACCTTCAGATTCAGACTTTTCAGTTTGCATAAAGCTTTGTCCTCTGACATTCTTTCCAAGATGTGCTGAAATATCAAGTCCTTCACGTAAATTTCATACTTACAAATGAACTTGACAAAACTCTGAAAGTCTTCCTTTTGCAGCAACTCTTTCTTAATGTTGTACTGGAAAATTTTGCGGCAACTGTACTCTGCTGAATGGCGGCCTGACCTAACTTTATCCACAATGTTGGTTCCCAGATTTTTACGGATGTACTCTTCAACAGCAGGTTTGATACAAAGTCTGACGAAATCATTTGCTTTGCGTTGGCAATCATCTCTCTTTTTGTATAGATCGGTAAAATCCAACAAGTACTGTTGCTTGTGCTTTTCCAACAGAATTCTGGGATCCCTTCCCGACAAGACATTTCTGTGCATTTGAAGGAACTCTCTTGAGGCAATGCCACAGATGTGAAGTTTCAGGTCAATCTCAAACTTGGGCTGGAAAGTGTTTCCTTTAAGAGAATCATCTACTTTTTTCAAAAGATCCTTTGTAAAAGAGTCATGGTAGTCCGAGTCGGTTTTTGCAATACCACGTACAGACCGTGTGCAAGACTCAATGACATTGTCTGCAAGACTCTGCAACTCTCTCTTTAAATGTCTCTTTTCCAAGAGTGGAATACTTGTCCAAGGTACTTTTACATGTTCAGTTTTGACTTCAAAAGGCTTCTTTCCTATGTCCTTTAGGTCTCCAATCTTCTGTAATTCCTCATTGAAGTTACGATTACCGAAGTTAATTCTCAACTGTTCAAGGACTTTTTCAGATATGTTTAGTTCTTTCAGTCCAGACACATTTGCTGTGACTTTTGTCCACATCTGTTGAAAGTCACGTTTCAACTGTTCATCAGAAAGTGTGCGGTGTTCGCGATCACTCAAGAGTTTCATTACTTCTTTTTCTATCATTTCTCTGTGTTTGCTCTGAATGTCCTCAGACTCTTTTGAACTTTTCTTTTCTTCAAGCGCACAATCCAATGCATTGTTTACTGAACGTTGGAATTCGTCTTTAAGACTTTTGATACGGTTGATGAAGTCAATTTTGTTGTCCTTTATCAGATTCACATTTATGTTTTTTCTTTGGTAGTATTCAACAAGTTTCTCGTCCATTTCTTTTCGTCCAACCTTTATTTTGTCGATCAACTGTGATGTTTGTGAGGCAACCATTGTCGTCAAAGTGTTCACATGTGTTTTGTTGTCAGAATTTAAGATCTCTAACTTTGCCCCATCCTGCCAGGAGATCAAGTCTTTTTTGAATTTCCATTCCCATTGACTGAACTCCTTGCAAAGGTTGTCATAAGCACGAGCCACAAGAGTGTTTCTGAAACTGAAGATGAAGTTCTCATATTTGACTGCTTTCCAGAGACTTCTTACCCATTCTAGAAACTCTGGAATCTGTGAAACATCATCGGTCTTGTCTTTGTTCACTGTCTCCAAGAGGTTTTTCTTGAAATCTGCTACAGCTACACTGTAGCCTGTGTTCACTGGTGCCATCGGTGGAGTCCCATGCCAGAGTCCGGGGATGTTCCAGTTGTTTTTTGCTATGTCATAGTCCAGCACATCTGTGAAGCTCTTTATAGAGGGCTGCTTTTCCATTTCTGCAGCAATTTTAGTCATTTCATTGAGTTGGTCCAAGAGAATGTGTCTTGCCTTCAAGTTATTTGAATCAGCGGAGACTCCAGCAACATTCTGGTGCACAAAATGACAAATTGGCTTTTTACCAATTTGTTTCATTCTCAGGAATGCATGGATTGCAATTTGCAGGATATCTTTCATCTCTGTGTAGTTCTCTGATGAAACATTGATAATTGTGACATCACTCAAACCAATGACAAAGGTTGCCAGCTGGTTGTCATGCTCATAACTGTCTTCTAGTTGGGCCAAATGAGGAGACTTGAGGCCCTCTGTGTCAATGAGAACTATGAAGTCACAGTTCAGCTGGTGTTGCATATCATCACTTACTCTGAGGAAGAGCATATAAGCTCCTCTTGTGCATCTGCCACTGCTGACTGGAAACTGCACACCGAACATGGTGTTGAGGAGTGTTGACTTCCCGGAACTTTGGAGACCCAACACGGTCAGTACCAACAGTCTGCTCTTCTCTCCAACCTTCCTGTGTAGCTCCATTAGTACATCTCTCACCCATTTCTCTGGGATGTTGGAAGCATCTCCATCCAAGAGCTCTAAAGGATATCCATCCAACAGCAGTTCAGCTGCCAAACCAGGGAGACGACGTACTTCATCAGCAGAGTTTTGAGACTGCAATGAAAACTCATAGATCAGTCCCATCTCTCTCATGTATTGCTCTAACCCTAATGTGCTTTCCAGCAGCTCCTGATCCAGCTTTGCAATCTCTTTCACATCTTTGTTCTTTTTGTTGCTTTGTTCTGTCCATTTGCGGCGGAGTGAAGATAGCTTATCCCGTGAATAAGCATCCAGTTTGAGTTTCATCCACTTAAGGAAGACATCTCTGCTCTTGCTGTCATTTTTAGGTAACTGTTTAATGAAAGTCTTCATATCATCTGATAGTTTCTGTTTGCCAAGCTTCTTCTTGATTTGTTGTTTTTTTTCCTGTAGCTGAGATTTATATTCTTCAGGTGCCAGAGTATCAGGCCTCTTTAAGCTACATTCCTCTTTCTCTAACTGCGATAACCTTTTCCAGTCAGCGCCTTGCAGAGGAAGCTGTTTTCTCTTGTAGTCTGGTATCTTCTGTACCCTAATTCCTTTGACAATCGTCTCAGCGGTTTCCTTTTGTTCATCACTTGTGCATTCATCCACTGACAGACCAAGTTCAACAGCTTTGTCAACCATATTTTCAATGTTCATTGTGGGTTTTCCAACTGTTATCTTGTTAATGGCTGCAGAAAGTGTCTCTGAGAACCCTACAACATTTACTCTTGGGTCTTTAACTTTCACATTGCTGTTTGGCAAATCTAATTCTTTCACTGTTTTCCTGACAGACTCCATGTCCTCTTCAGCACTTCCATCCTTGCAGTTAACAACCAAGATCAGTTTGGATTTCACATCTTGAAGAGAAGTCAGAATCTCATGCTCCTCTTTTTCAATTTTGTCCAGGAAGACAAAGGTAGCAGTTGACACATGAAACAGAAAAGTGAACTGAGCAAGTGACTCAGAAATGTTTCCTCTCAGATTGGCGAAGGCAATTGGGTCTGGAAATACATCAGGATAATCTTTGCCTCTGGGAAGGTACCAGCTCACCTCTGCCAAGCCATTGGCTATCTGTCTTTTAATTGCTCCTCCTTTCATTTCTCTGTCTATGAAGATATTGTGATTCTGCTGGCCAAGGCTGAGAACTTGATTCAACATTTGGGACTTGGACAGAGTACAGTTTTTGAGCCTCACAAAGGAAAAGAATGGTATCTTTGCTTGGACAATGTTGTCTTCAACAAAGCCTTTTGATTCAGACAAACTGTGTGGACGCCACTCTTTGACAATGTCCCTCAGAGCCCACAGCATCAGGGTACTCTGACTGTTATTGACATGGGGCATCAGCAGTGGGACAGAAAACTGGCACATTGACATCTTGAGGGCCATTTCCTGTTGCAAGAAGCTGTCAGCACAAAGGAATAGTGCTGTTATGAGGTCGAGAGGGTTAACCTCATTGTCTGCAGATTTATCTGCAGTGAAAGGATCACGATCATCATTACCATCATTAAATACCTGTGTACAGCTCCTGCATTCTGCATTGAGTTTAAATAGTTTTCTTAGAAACCACCAAGGTATTTCCTCCACTGATGAGGCAGCTTCTTCATTTATACTGTATTTGTTGATCTCCAATAGAGACTGAAGTGTGATTTTTTCGTGATAGAATTTCTCCAGTCCCAGTTTGGAGAGAAAGGTGAATAGGACTGTCAATGAGAAAATAAAAATATCAAAATATTGTATTTAGAAATTAACAACAGGTATGGCATGCTTGCATTTATTGGTGTATGTGCGTGCATGCTAGTTTTCTTGATTTAAAGAGTAACATGCTGTTACTATTCTTTTGGAATTACAGCTGGGAATATTGGCTTGGTAACTCTCTCTGAAACCACATACTTTTGTTATATCTCTCACAGGCTCCGCCCTCTAATGGACTCTATGGGTACTACTCTCTATCATGCTGTGCGTGCTTTCACCTACTGAATTTACGTAAACGTAGCCGGCCAATCGGGGCGAGCCTACCTGAATGCGCGCGCAGGCCCACAGTATATAAGGCGGCTACAGCCGCCGCCCCACTATCCTTTTTCTCTTTAGACGAGCTGACAACCGAAGAGTTAAATAAACGTACGAAGATTAGAAGAAACGAAAAATGGACTCACCATTACTGGAATCTCGGCCATGCCCCACCTGCCTTGGTTTGATCGCGGGCACCGATCTCCACCACCTCTGTTAGAGTGTTTGGGGGGCCAGGATATGGCCGAGGCGGTGCCATTCACGTTCGCCATTCCAGCGGGGCGAATGGCTCCGTGTGCCGTTGTCGGGCACTTCCGGGTTCGGTCCACCGCCTAAGGTGATGACCATGGCGGCGGAGCGCAGCTGCTTCCAGCGGGCAGCAGGCTGGGCAGGGAGCTGAAAAGAGCTCTGCCACGCTATCGCGGGACAGGGCGACTGCAGATAAACACGGGTGTGTTGGGCATCTCGCTCATTGCTGGAGATGCCCCCACCTCGCCAGATCAGAGCGATTATTTGTAGCTTGATTGTGGCCGCCGCCGTTGTCTGCCGTGTGGTATCCCGGTGAGGGATCACGCCGCATGGCACTTTTCAAAAAGGACCGTGTTGATCTCCTGGGAGCCCCCGTGTTTACGGAAGGGCTCTTTGGATCGGAAAGAACACTGTCCCACACTCCCCGCCCCCTCTGTAAACTCCAGTATAGGAGCCAGCAGGTGGGCGCGTGCACGTGAGTGGAATAAACCGTAGTGCTGTCAAAGCACTGTGCGGGTTCAAGAGAGTGATGTGTGTGTGAGAAATGCATGAAAAAGATTGCATTTATCCCAGAGTAAGAGTCATCTCTCTCCACATTTCCATTTTTCACCATAATGTCCGTTTCAAAGAGATGGCAGTTGACAGAGCCGCGGCCCCACGGGAGCTGCCGCGGTGCGTTCAAGAACCTCAGTAGAAAATCGGCCCCTTTTTCTGTGTCAGCCCCATGCCAAAACTCCCTTTTATGGAAGGTTTGACAGCGGAGTAGGCCACCAGAGAATACTACAGCTTCTTAGCGGTGGCTACAAAGTCGAAAAGAGGCCCTGTTGCAAGAAGTGTGTGTGAAAAATGCATTTGGTAAAAACGATTGCATTTATCCCAGAGTAAGAGTCATATCTCTCCACAATTCCACATTTTCCCATAATGTCTCGTTGAGATCGGCAAGGCCGCTTTCATACGATGTTAATTGGACACCCATTATGAGGTGCGGCGCCCGTGAGAGTGGCCGCGGTGCGTTCAGGGACCTCCGCAGAAGAACAGTGCATTACGTAGTGTAACTCTAGTTCTAAGGTGTAAAATGCATTCAGTAAAAACGATTGCATTTATCCCAGAGTAAGAGTCATCTCTCTCCACATTCCACATTTTCCACATTTCCCCATAATGTCCGTTTCAAGAGACGGCATTATGACGACGCGCGCCCCCCCCCCGAGAGCGGGCCGCGGTGTGTTCATGGACTGAAGAAGCTCCGATTAATGCTTATTTCTCTCTAAGAGAAAACAGCATTATGGTGGAGCGCGCGCTCTCACGGGAGCATGCCGTGGTGCGTTCAGGGACCTCAGTTAAAAATCGGCCGTTTTTTTCTCTGAGTGGAAACTACATTATAGAAAAACGGCCCTTTCTGTGTCAGCCCCTCATGGGTCAAACTTCCTTTTATGGAGGGTTTGACGGCGGAGTGGGCCACCAGAGAGTACCACAGCTTTATAGCTGCGGCGCCGCAGCTGATTGCACATCCCCTAACACAATGTTATGGGGAATGGAAAATCAGAGGTGTATTAACAGAGCGCATGGACAGGACACTGAGTTTTGCAGCATCCCTCCTCCGTTCAGAGGCAGGAGAGAAGCACATCTGTCATCCCAGGAGGAGGTTTCCTCTCAGCATGTGCACTCTCAAGTCAGAGAGAAGGGGCATTATTCCCTGTACTTCCTGGTTCCCAAGAAGACAGGAGAATTCAGGCCCATTCTGGATCTTCAATGCCTGAACCAGCACATTGCATGCAAGAAGTTCCATATGTTAACTATGAAACAGTTACTGAGACTGGTGCAGCCAGGCGATTGGTTCACAACCATCGACCTGAAGAACGCTTACTTTCAAGGCGAAATTGCTCCAAGAGCACAGAAAGTATTCGCGTTTTGCCTTCCAGGGGGTAGCCTACGAGTACAACAGACTGCCGTTCGGCTACTCCCTATCCCCACGCACGTTCAGCCACGACGCTGCAACCGCTGCGGGACCATGGCATGAGGGACGACCTCATAGTTATGGCCAGGTCCAGGGAATGGGCAATACTGCACACAGCCCAATTGATCCTACACCTAACCAAGTTGGGTTGAAAAAGAAGTTGCGGTCAATTGGAAGAAGAGCTCCCCCATACCTCACCAGCAGGTAGAATATCTGGGGGTGATGCTCGATGCAGGCAGACTACGTGTCACCCTGACAGAAAGCAGACAGGCTTCTCTGCTGTGGGCAGTCTGCAGGCTGCGTCAGGAGGCGACGGTGACAGCTTTGATCATCATGCAGACTTTGGGTCTCATGACGGCTGCTCACTCCGTAGTGCCACTCGGACTGCTGCATGCACGTCGCATGCAGATGTGGTTTACCGGCCTTCGTTTAGATCTTAAGACACAAACGACGTCTGGTGGCCATCCCCCCCCTCAGTAGAGAGCAACCTCCGATTCTGGGGGTCCCCAGAGAATCTGCGGAGGGGAGCTCCACTGGGGCAGGTAACCTCCTATATCACAGTCTTCACAGACGCTTCAAAGAAAAAGAAAGTGACAGGATGGGGGGGGGACGTGTCTAGAGAGAGCTGTGGGTGGTTGCTGGCCTCTGGCAGCACAGCAACCTCCTGGAGCTGCAAGCAGTGATGTTGGTCCTACAGCACTGCAAACCCTTAATACAGGGCAAACAGGTGCTAGTAAGGAGCGACAACCGCACCACAGTGGCGTACATCAACAGGCAGGGCGGAGTCCGCTCAATAGCCTGGTTGACCGCGGCAGAGAACCTGTGGCTGTGGGTTTCACAGATTGTGTTGTCTCTAAGGGCTCTTCACATCCCGGGATGGGAGAACAGGGGGGGCCGACCTCATGTCAAGAGGCGGACCCCTGCCAGACGAGTGGAGGCTTCACCCGGAGGTGGTGAAGCAGGTCTGGACTCAGTTCGTTAGAGCAGAGGTGGACCTGTTCGCCAATCGGCCCAACAGCCACTGTGCCCTGTGGTTCTCCCTGGCTCGGTGGGACAACCCGCCCTTGGGGGTCGACACGTTTGCACACGAGCCATGGCCAAGAAAGCTGCTTTACGCCTTTCCACCGCTGCACCTTATCCCCCCCCTCCTGGAGAGGGTGAGGCGGGAACAGCTGTCAATCATCCTGGTGGCCCCAGATCGCCGCCTGGCGCCGTGGTAACGCGGGGGTAACACAGATGATGGTGGGCCAGCCCTGGGCGATTCCTCAGGTCTGGGGAGCGCTGTCTCAGGAAGCAGGTGCAATAGGGGCGTTACCCACTCTGGGCCAACCTCTCCAGGCTGGCTCCTGAGAGGGACAGGCTGAGACAGGTGGGGCTGTCTGATAACGTTATTCAGACTATCCAAGCAGCAAGAGCAGAATCCACCACAGCTTGTTACAGGCCAAAGTGGGCGGGATTCCGGCGATGGTGTGAAGGAAGGAGTCTAGAGCCTCTGTCGTGCACGCTGGGCTCTATTCTTACCTACTTACAGATACTGGTGGACAGGGGGCTGGCTCATTCCACAATTAAGGTGTATGCAGCAGCCATTTCGTCCTGCCATGAGGGATTTGGAGGCAGGTCAGCCTTCAGTCAGCCGCTTATGACGCGGTTTTTGCAGGGGGTCAGGAGGCAGCGCCCGGTAGTGCACGCCTCCGCCCCACAGTGGGACCTGCCGTTGGTGCTCGAGGCTCTGGTCACAGAACCATTTGAGCCTCTGGAGCTTTCCTCCCTAGTAGCACTGTCATGGAAGACAGCATTGCTACTTGCCTTGACTTCGGCTAAAAGAGTGTCCGAGCTGACCGCTCTGTCGGTACACCCAAGTTGTCTTTTGATCCGGGGTGACCGTAGCGGGGCGACACTCAGGCCGAACAACTCCTTTACTCCTAAAAGTATCAGAAGTTCATTCAGATCAAGGGCTATTCAGTTAGGTGGCTTTAATCTTCCACCCCATATTGGGGCCAGGGAGGCTAAATTGCACCTCCTCTGCCCAGTGCGTGCGCTAGCATGCTATGTAGAGCGCACGGCTGCCATTAGGCGCACTGAACAACTGTTTGTGTGCTTTAGGGATGGTGTGGCTGGAAAAGCCCTCTCAAAGAAGCGCCTAGCAGGATGGCTATGCGAGTGCATTACACATGCCTATGGACGGGCGGGGAGAGCCCCCCCCACTGGGGTCCGTGCACATTCTACACGGGCTGTGGCTGTGTCAACAGCCTTACTCAGCGGCGTGAGTGTAGAAGATATATGCACGGCGGCGTCTTGGTCTACGCCAGGCCCCTTCATAAAATGTTATCTCCTGGACATGTCTGGCTCCTTCTCGTCGTCTGTGCTTGCCGGGGCAACGCATGACTGGTGAGAGGGGGGTGGCTGTGGGTCAGCAGGTATCTGAGAGCCTTCCTCACTATTGTCCATGCCCACTCTACACGGAGCGTGTGTGAGTGTGGGGGATGTGGTGCACTTATGTTTTTCCCATGCTCCTGAGGGACCTGGGGAACATGGTGCGCGGTAGGCTCCAGACGGAGTCTCCGCACCATTTTTTTCCATGCACACTCTACACGAGGTAAGCGTGTGTGAGTGTGCCTTATCCAAGTTGCGGCCCCGACTTCTCCACGGTTACAACCGGATGGGAGGAAGTGGGGATGCAGTGGATATTAGCCAAAAGCCGGTCAGGGACGGTGTGGTGGGTCGATGTTGTTGGACGACAGGGCGTTTATACATCGGGGCTCCGCCCACTGTACCCATAGAGTCCAGTAGAGGGCGGAGCCTGTGAGAGATATAACGGGGGGTTACGTATTGTAACCCTAGTTATATAAACACAGGCGGAGCCCTCTACCTGGAGGCCCTGTCTTTCCTAGTCCGCTTGCTGAAGAGTGTATAGGATAGTGGGGCGGCGGCTGTAGCCGCCTTATATACTGTGGGCCTGCGCGCGCATTCAGGTAGGCTCGCCCCGATTGGCCGGCTACGTTTACGTAAATTCAGTAGGTGAAAGCACGCACAGCATGATAGAGAGTAGTACCCATAGAGTCCAGTAGAGGGCTCCGCCTGTGTTTATATAACTAGGGTTACAATACGTAACCCCCCGTTTCTTTCTTGCTGTTTTTGTAGGGATTAGACAAACACACAAGGTTTGTGTAGATTTGTCCACTTTGGAAGACTTTATAGGCATTTATTTTACTGTGTACTGTGTATTGCGACATTCTCACTACAAAGAAAATGTTACCCCAAACATTACAAGAACATTTCCCCATTGCTTAAAGTGGACCTATCATGCTATATTTGAATAATATAGTGTAGGACCATACCTATATAAGGCATATTTATACTTTTTTTTTTTCAAAATACCAAACAGATCATGCATTTTAGCCATGCCTCATTTTGCTCAATTTGACATTTTTTAGCTCTGTATTTGCAAGGGCATATTCAGTGAGAACAGCACCATCTACAGGCCTGGCATATGTACTACAGCGTCTCCAGCGCTTTCGAACGGCAATGGCCGTGGCTGTCTCCTCCTGATTGGTGGAGTTGGCCCAATAGCCGTAGCGCCACTGTCCTGACGTCAGGACAGTGTTCAAATCTGGATCAGTTTTTATCAGATCCGTTGCAGCCCCTTTTTTTTAGATTTGGGTATGGAGGAAAATAGAGAGGGTTGTGTTTTCTGACACTTGGTGAGTTCCCTGGAACACCGGGGACACATATTCATGTATAAAAGACGTACAAAAGTGCATTTTGCATGATAGGTCCCCTTTAAGTGGAAAAAAAGAAACCCAAACAAGATCTTTTAAAGGCTGTTCTTTAGTTTACCCTTGACAACACATTTAATATTTTTTGAGCTGAGGTTTATGACCACCTTTTCACTGATAAATCCTCCATGTTTATTGTAAGTATTGTCTGGACTTTTAATGCCATTACGATAATTGAGATACCAAACATATACACAAGTGGGGAGCGTACCTGCATGTTCTTTTCCGTCTTCATTCGGTCTGTTCATTGAAGACAGGAGCCTGTCCCCTGTACTACGAATCCGGTTCAACATAACCTGGATATGTTTGAGTTACCCGGCTTACCTAATCCAAAACAAACACGCTCTCGCTAAACTGTCCTACGACGCTGGTTATCAACTCGTTAACTCAAGCCAGGGTTTCTCTGTCCGGCTCAAGAAGCTGACTCAGATAAGGAAATATATGATAGGCTACATTATGATGTGATATGATGTGATATGGGACACATAGACGTCTGTACTCACAGTGCCGCGGACTGTACTTAATGTTACTCTGATCCGGTTACTTATGTTGTGGCAGATATTTAAGTAAGCTTTCTTAACGCTAATGTTATAATAGTCAGATTGCTCTGAAGATGGGAGGGGATATTCTATTCATTTTCACGTTCACACAGTCGATGATTTTTGCCGGCCGTCATTCCTGCAACGGCAGTTTTTCTGTATTTCCTTTCTCCTGTAATATGACTTGATAGCTTTAAACTCCGCACACGGAGCTCTGATTGGTCAGCAGGCGGTGCTTTCACTGAGTTGATCTCTTAGCCTGCAACCTAACCTGCTCCGGAGCAGGTTAGCCACTCAGCATAAGTTACCATGGAGATCTAGCCCGGTAAGAAGTGAACCAGCGTCGTAGGACCGGAAACCCAGAGTTTTCCCTAAGGTTAGCTCGCTAAGCGAAAATCCGGCTTCGTAGTACAGGACTCTGGTCTGACTCTTCCTTTAATACTTCTGTGCTTTGAAACCTAGAGACAAAAGTAAAATCGATGTTTTAATTTCACAGAACCAGTTTTTTTTCAAAGAAGCAAACATTGAATTATTTGTTATTCATGTCAAACAAGTTGCAGACAAACAAACCTACATCAAATCATTTAACATCAACTATCCTTTGTCTGTCATTGATTGCTTCTGTTAAAGCCAATTTGGACATTTGCTTATTTATAGTTATAATTAAATAATGTGCAGTTTTGTGTAGTGTTAAAAAAAAGTGATGTAACTTTTAACTTGCAAAAATACAGGAATTTGACCCTGTCTAAGTATCTGACAGATCATAGCAACTGCTTTAACTGCAAAATGCATATGAGACTTGACTTTTGCTTTTAGAAAAATCTCTTTGCACAACTAGAAATGTGTGTCTAAACAAAGACAGAAATATGCAGCATAATTTTCTTCTGATTCAGAAAGCCACATTTTATCCTGATTTTAATCTTAATCAATGTGTGAACTTGCACAAGCGTCATCTCTAATACTACAATAAGCCAAAACTAGACGCACAAAGTAATTTGAACAGCTTTTGCAGATTGATATTTCTAACAACACTCATTACACCTGTTATTTAGAAGAATAGCAAAGAGTATTCAGAATAAACACATTGTGTTGCATCATTGCCCCATCTAAGGAATGAGTAGACCTGACAACTGGATAAACGTGTTGCTTATATGTGTTCTTATGGAATAGTGTAGAGGATAAACGTAGTTAATCCTTTTGTGGAAAGAATGAATGATATGACAATATTTCAGTTGTTTTCTTAACCCACAACCGTGATTGTGTGAAACTGATTTCAGACTAAAGAAGAGCTCAGTGGTTAGAGCTGATGGCCCATATATGCAGGTTCGAACCTGCTGCGAAAGAATAATGCCATTCCCTCTGGCAACACTGTAACTTGAATATAGGCACTCTACCACGGCACTTCAATATATCAAATATTGAAATAAATGTGAAAACATAATTCACCAAATGCATAAAGAAAAGTACCTGCAGCAAAGTAGTACAAGTGATACAAGTAATACGTTTCACAGACTTTCAGCTGTCATATGACATCCAAGCCTCGCCCTGAACCACAGGGTTTCATCAATAAATCATTTTAATGACATCAAACCAGTGTTATCTTCAATGTCTATATGCTTAGTTGCCCAAATTAGTAAATATCATGGTAAATGTTTTTATAGTAATGTGTTTAATGTGGAACACCTTTTTTTTAGATTAATAATGTGTTATGAGTAGCTTCTATGTCAGGTTACCCATTAGCTATTTCATTACCAGTAGTTATTATTAAAAACATAATTAAGACACATCTCTTTTTGAATTTAGTGCTTCTTATTTTTTAATGAATATTTTAATATTTTTTGTGGGGGAAATGTGAAATTGTTCTTGAATCCTTCCTTGTCTTGTTACTCAGTGACTCCAAAATCATAATATTACTGCACTTAACAAATCGGAAACTTGTTTTAATTGAATTTGGAGTAATTTGGTCTCATGATATGAAAGCTATTAAAATAAATGAAATCCAATAAAGATGATTATGTTAGCAATACTGTTCTGCATTGATTAAGATTCATAAAGTCACACGATATAGAGGCGATTGAATTCAAGAAATGTAAACAAAAACAAAACCAGCAGATTGTTTTTTTTTTTAATATTTTTACGAAATGTACAAATATCCCAAAAAGGGCAAAAAAGGTTTTGTCCTACTTGTCCGGTGTGGAAATATAATGCTTCATTGATTTGGATTCATTAAGTAACATGACATAGAAGCTGTTGAAAACAAACAGGCTTCAATAAACTGCTGCATTTTCATAACAATGTTGATATGAAGCAGAACAAGAGGTTAAGTGTATTAGATATACAATAGTGCATTGATTTGTAATCTTTGGGTCATATGACATAACATATGTTGATAAAAAAAACAAGAGTTTTCAATAAATAAATAAAAATACTGATTCTTTCATATCGATATTCATATTTGGAAAATTCATTCAAATCCTATAAAATAGGTGTCCTTGTTTTCAAAATAATACAATTCTGCATTGATGTGGAGTCATAATGTCACATGATATGGAAGCTATTGCAAACATCCAGCAGTTTTAAATGTAATTACTTTTTTATGGAAACAGAACAGATGCATTTTAAAAACAATATGCACGTTAAATCTAATAAAAATAAGTGTGTATTCTTTTCAGTGCAGTAACAATATCTGGTATTGATTTGGAGTAATTTGGTCACATGACATGGAAGCTCTTTAAAAACACTGATATTATCCACTGCTATTATATTTATGCAAAATCAATTCATTAAACATCAGTAACCTAAAATGTGTACCACATTGGCATATTTTCTGTAAAGAACAGGTACAAAAAAGATCAGTATTATGATTATTATTATTATTGTTAGGGATTATCAAGTTCAATAATAATAACTGGTAATGATTTATAGATAATGGGTCACATGACATAGAAGCTATTGAAGAATATAGATATTTGAATTTTAAGTAAAATCAATTCATGACACATTAGTAATTTAAAAAGAAAGGTTCGCCACATAAAACACACTATTATAAAAACATTTAGCTTAATAATGATAATAATACCGAGTCGGGTATTCAAGATACCAGTATAGCAACCAGTGCCAGCAACAATCGCTGCGAGGTGTGTGGACGTTGAAAGGATTCAAAGACCGCATGCAGCTACTGCAACAAGTCAACATACTCTGATATTCTGTGCGACACATACACCATATGTATTTTTCACATGTACTGTATTTCATCAGCAGACACCAAAACAGTGTACATTTCATCAATCATCTGCAAATTATTTTTGAGGGATGTATTTCATAGCCAGTATCTAAAACAATTTGAATGTGGTTCTTGTGTTTCCACAGCTGTTCAACACCTGTAATTTATTTATGGCTTGCATTTTAATTAGAAAAATGTGACAATCGTTTGTCAATCAGTTCAAAAATAATTATCATTATTGAATAAAATGTTTATTTTCCATTTTTCTAAAAATAAGAATGAATAGGCAACCTAAGACCTTATCTTAGGTATACTTACAGGGGTTCTATTTTTGTATATTTTAACTTTATCACAGAATATGAATGAAACTTCAATTGTTAAATGTGAAATAGCAGAGAGTAATTGCAGACATTAATCATATATTTTATCTTTATTGTTGGGAATTGAGATGAAAACAATATACGAATTTTATATTTAAATAGTTATTTCCGTATTGCTTTTATAACCCTATTAAAGTATTCAGAAACAGAATCAGAATACCTTCGTGGGTCTGAGCCAAACAGTACCATCGGGCCCAAAATATGAAACAATACTACAAGGGTTGTATTACTGTCGCAAACTACCCAGGAAAGAAGTTAACCACTTTTAGGACTAAAAACCCATGGCGTTCTCATTGAAGTTACCTCACTAAACCAAATAATGCTTCATGGTACAGGCTTGCATTTCAATCATTTCTTATTAGTTTTAATGTAAGTAAATATAGATGAACTCTACCTGCAAGCTCTGGTATTTCTCTGTTCATCGTAGACATTTCTCTATAAAACTAGAGGAAAATATAATTAGCACGAAGATCAGTGAAACACACTTGATTAAGTATCATTTATAACTGTATTAAGTAATGCTATATATTAACAGTACTAATAGTAAACATTTTCCAGCATAAGGTTAACTGAGACTTACCAGAAATCTGGTGGCAGGAGACTGAGGCTCTCTTTGTCTGCTCTGATATTTATACTGCCAGAGAAACCGAAAGCATTTGCCGGCAAAATTGTGTTAACACCCATATCATCCATCAACAAGCCATTCCCCATAAATCAGTCATTTCCTCCTCACATTTTTAACCTTTGCATTGTCTTTCCATTCACAAGTAACCTTTGTCCTCCCTTCGGTCCAAACTTACCTGGTCTACTTTGACAGTTTGAGTCACACAGTATAAATTATCACCACATTTTGTGTTACAACTTGATATAAACCTAATTTCAAAAACATTAATACCTATTTTACATTGTTTTTTTGCCATCAGAAGTTATCTGACGACTATGCCATCGTCGGCCTCGTCTCTATTGAGGACGACAGTGAGTAAAGGGAACTCAATCAGAACTTCACCCTCTGGTGCCAGAGAAACAAGAAGGGACTTTTTCTCAGACTGTTTCTGCTGAGGAGACTGAGGTATTTTGGGGTGCAGGGGGCACTCTTTCAGATATTTTATGACTCTGTTGTGGCATCAGCCATTTTCTATGGTGTGGCCTGCTGGAGCAGCAGCATCTCGGCTGCTGACAAGAAGAGACTGAACATACTGGTAAATAAGGCCAGCTCTGTCCTGGGGAGTCCTCTGGACACTGTGGAGGGGCAACACATCCTCACTCCCAGGTCGGCGTATGTTGACGTTATGTCAAGGTCCCCTGTGGTCTTTTTCCAACGCAAGGGGGGCGGCCCTTACCGTACATTTTCAACTTTCCGGGATGTCCATAGGCTTCTATATAGCTCCCTAAACGTATGTTGTAGACGACTTGAGATCGCGAGTGAATGTTTCCCGCCACGGGCCATTCTCTGCTGAAGCATACGTTGCGAGACTGCATTGCATTAAAAATCAAATCAAATCAAATCAGGTTTTATTTATAAAGCACATTTAAAAGCGATTTTTGGTCGAGCCAAAGTGCTGGACATGTAATAAAAACACATTACTACAAATCACAATAAACGACAATAAATTACAACAGATATATCAAAAACATTATGCTCTCTATATATTGTCTTTATTATGCTTTAAACAGTGTCTCGGGCTTTGGCTATAGGGCGGCTCAAAGTATTTTGTCCGGCCGTTGTGAAGACTGCTTTGTTTATTGTCCTTGTTTTTGTTTTAAATAAAGCATTTTCAATCGAGACATGCCAAACATGTGACGTCATATGACGCGTCGCATCTGAGCACAGGGAGCAGGGAGACCCCAGGGCAGCATACGTTGCGAGACTCCATTGCATTAAAAACATTATGCTCTCTATATATTGTCTTTATTATGCTTTAAACAGTGTCTCGGGCTTTGGCTATAGGGTGGTGTAGGTACCATATCTGCACGGCCAACCAGATCAGCACGGGTCCGTTACGCGTACTAATGACGTCACGCATTGACTGTACGGCAACCCAAGAGGACATTTTACACGGCCAAATTCCGCAAAGAATATTAAAAAATAACAATCGACAGTGAATGTATGTTAGTGGAACTGTGTCAGGAAAGTGAAGTGTTAATTAAGTAATGTTATTGAAGAACTGAAATGCATAAAATTGAAAGTTAAAGGACACCTATCATGCTATATTTAAATGATATATTGTAGGGCCATACCTATATAAGGTATATTTATAAGTTTGTTTTCAAAATACCAAACAGATCATGCATTTTAGCCATGCCTCATTTCGCTCTATGTGCTGTTTGCTGTCTACAGGGCTGATTTTGTGAGCTGCAGCTGACCACGCCCCCCTGCAGGAGAGGGAAGCCGTGCTCTGATCAAGTCAAGAGGGGGAGAAAAAAAAGATCTATATTTATATATACAGTCTACTGTTTTATTATATTATTATAGGCCTATAGAGTCGTTATTCATTTGTTTTAAAGCTCAATAAATAACAAAGAAGACCTTTGACCGGCACTTTTCTAATTTTGTCCGGAAGATTTAAACTTTAATGGACATCTTGACCGGCGAAAGAAACTGAAACTGAAACTCTGCTGCACGGTCCCCTCGTTCCTTAGAAGAGGCGGAGAGGTGGGTGTTTGTCATCTGCTGGTGGACTAACCGGAGAGAATTACAGTGCTTGCCTCGACGGGGAGGGATTGCATTGAATTAAAGCAGCGGGAGCAAACGCTTGCCTCGGGGAGGGAGAAAAAAAGCCACAGCGGAGAATAAACAGAAGGGTAACCATGGTAACTATGGGCGGGAAGTCTTCTTCGCTGCTTTTGTGGCAGACTACAGCGCCACTTACAGGCCTGGCATATGTACTACAGCGTCTCCAGCGCTTTCGAGCGGCAATGGCTGGCCGTGGCCCAACCCCACATTCCCCTGATAGGTGGAGAGTTGGCCCAATAGCCGTAGCGCCACTTCTGTGACGTCATAGAAGTGTTCAAATCTGGATCAGTCTGTATCAGATCCGTTGCAGCCCCTTTTTTAGAGATTTGGGTATGGAGGAAAATAGAGAGGGTTGTGTTTTCTGACACTTGGTGAGTTCCCTGGAACACCGGGGACACATATTCATGTATAAAAGACGTACAAAAGTGCATTTTGCATGATAGGTCCCCTTTAATATGTATCATATCCCTCCGAAATATGGTCGTAGACTTTACTGATGATTTAGAATTTATTGAAACTCCACACTCAACGTAAGAGATTGTGCCTCTTCGGTGGGTGCTAACATTTAAACATAAACTTTATTCTTTACTTTCTCCGTCTTTATGATATCAGATACCGTCACGTTGTTTCCATCGCAACAACAACTTCCTGTCAACAGCTCCTGTTTCACCAGCTTAATACAGTTATCATCACTGCTACTTTAGATATGAAGGGGGTTATGTTTTTTTGTCTGTGTTCTGGGTTCCTGCAGATTTTTGAACAGACAGTAGGCTACACACGTTCAGAGGATGAACATTATTATTGTGTGTGTGTGTGTGTGTGTGTGTGTGTGTGTGTGTGTGTGTGTGTGTGTGTGTGTGTGTGTGTGTGTGTGTGTGTGTGTGTGTGTGTGTGTGTGTGTGTGTGTGTGTGTGTGTGTGTGTGTGTGTGGTGACTCAGCCTGGTTAGTAAAAGATTATTTCAATCTCTGCACTCCTGCAGGAAGGAAATGGTACACATATTCAACATTAATATTTTTGCTAGAGTAATTGTAATACCATTCATAAATCTTTTTTCCTGCAAAATCTTTCCCTCATTGATGGAATAAGAGCAGTGGGGCGTTCTGCTGAAGCAGATGGTTTTTCAGATAAAACTAATGATCAATTTTTGTGATGTAGTCTAGTCTATTTTGTTACCACAAAGTTGACGTCATTAGAGCATATCTCACATATGTTATGCTTTATTTCCTTTATGCGTATTCCATGCGTTTTCTTGTGTGTTTCACAAATCCTGTATACATTCTGTATTTTTGATTTTCAGATGTTATTATGTAATGGAGTGTTTCTGTGTATTTAATTGTAATATAGTTGGCTTTACTGTTGGTGTGACAAAACAAGCAATTTAAACTAGTGAGTTCTGGGAAACTGGGTCTGACTATTTTATGTTTTTTTCACATTTATAAATGAGGAACAGCATGATATTTAAGAAGACACAACTGGAACTAGCATTTTTCATTATCAGTTAAAATAAGTGCTTAAACATAGTTAACATTGCAGGAAAGCAATATATTAGACGTTAAGTACTTTGTCAGGCTTAATATTTATCTGTAGATACAAATTTCACTGTGTGTGCTGTGTGCTCTGCATGTGTGACCATCAAAGAGGGTTTCATCCCTCCATATTCATCTTCTATACCCCCAAAGCTTTTTTCTTATTCAAAAGAAGACCTTAACCTAAAGTATTGTTTAATGTTTAAATAAAGCCTTATTAGTTTGTCTGTTTTGCACATCCTCCTATTAATATCTAATAATAAAAATAATAAAATTCAATAACGTGCTTTAACCAGTAGGTGTCCCTTTCTATCAGCTGGGCACTGTTATGGAGTAAATACAGCCTATCTACCAATTGGATCAAATATAAAAGTTAGCTGAATTAGTGTTGATACTGCAAGGAGACGTATTGTGTGAAAAGAAATGTAAGATGTTGTTTAATTGATTATATATGATCCACGTCACGTTTTAAGTTTTGGCGGCAGTTCTTCCTGTTTGTCTAGAAGTCTTGTCATCAGGGCTCTATACATAGAGTTAACTACGGCAGATATGTCATATTTAATGCAGCCAAAACGTGTATTACAATGCCGTTATGTGATGACTTTCAAAGAGAAAAGCAAGCACACTCGGAATAAAGTATTATTCTATTTTAAAAAAATGTTTTCGGATTTCACATCGCATAAACACCAAATCCCAGCGTGCATTGCGGCTAAACCATCCAATCATCGAGCTGAGGATCTTGCCTACGTCTGTTTCTGGTTTCGTTTTCGTTTATGTATTTTGTTATACACACATTCCTTCACATTTAAATTTGAATTTACATTAAAGTATTTCGTGAGGCCTTCTAACATGTTTTTAAATATAACTACGGTTGTAGTTGAAGAGTTTGTAAATTAACATGAACCGAAGCTGTTGCCTGGCAACGCAATCGCAAAACGTCACGTCCGTTAATTCCACATCCACACCTTTATATATACAGCCTATGATCCACACACATGGATTAACATCGATTTAATACATTAATGTAGCCTTTGTTTCTGCTAACAGAGGTGTCGACCAGCTAGGGCAACAAGAAAATCGGCTAAATCGAGTGTGACGAATAAAAAATAAATGAAAAACATCAAATTTTTACAATAAAAACCGACCAATAGTCTTGGTAGAGCATTTGCTTGGCACTTCCGGGTATTTCTCCACTGGTTGGGCCATGTTAACAATACCGTGTAACTGTCACGTTTGAAGGGACGAAACCGTGACATATTCACGTCTCCCAGCATGGTAGATCGTCACATGTTCACGTCTTGCCGTGATACCGGGTTGCACTGTGGAGGTGGTGGGAGACAGGAGTCCTCTGGAC